TAGGCTTCTTCTGTCTCTAAAGAGAGCACTGTGAGTAACATGAAAGGGAACAGAGAAATTAACTGTGAAGCCACTGATGATGAGGTATTAAGCCAGGAAAAGGAAGAAGAAAACTGTGTACAATGTTGAAAGTAAATTAGATTTATGCAGAAAAGTATTTCTCATATATAGTCAATGCAATGTGTACTGAAGACCAAGGAGTTAAAGCAGAACAGCAAGAATGCTGGGGTGTCCCGGGACAGAACAATGCAAAGCTTTGGCTCCTGCACTGTCAGGTGAATGATGTGGATTCGAGTGGTAACTGTTCTCAAGCATTAAGATAATTTTGCATCTATTTCTTCAGCTGACATTTGAAATTCGATTAGGCCTGTCAAGGTGTGTCAATTGAAGAGTTTCACATCTTTTCATTGAAAGAGGCATCCTTAGTCATGAAAAAGGGTGTTTAATCAAGTACCATACTGGAATTATCTGTAGCAAATGTGGATAGAGCCTTCCCAAATCTTCGTTCACGAAGCCTAGCCATGAATGAATGAATACTGGAATTATGCAGTCAAAAATAATTGTAATAACCGAACATCAGCTAATAAAATAGGCATTTATATTTAAAATTAATATCTTAACAGATGCAAACCATACTATCTCTCAAGAAGGTATTTGGTCTCTTCTCCCAAGTAACAGGTGATAGGACAAGAGAAAATGGCCTCAAGTTGTGCCAGGGGATCCCTTCTCTGTGGTGACCAGTGACAGGACCCAAGGGAATGGCCTGAAGTTGTGCCAGGGGAGGTTTAGGTCAGATGTTAGGAAAAGGTTCTTCACCCAGAGGGTGGCTGGGCACTGGAACAGGCTCCCCGGAGAAATTATCACAGCACCAAGCCTGCCAGAGTTCAAGAAGAGTTTGGATGATACTCTCAGTGAGTCATCTTGGGGATTGTCCTGTGCAGGGTCAGGAGTTGGACGTGATAATCCTTGTGGGTCCCTTCAACTAGGCATATTCTGTCATTCTGTGATATTAGGGAAAATTTCTTCACTAGAAGGGTTGTCAAGCACTGTAACAGGCTGCTCAGGGCACTGGTGGAGTCACCATCCCTGGAGGTATTTAAAAGACATGTACATGTGGTGCGTAGGGACGTTGTTTAGTGGTGGACTTGGCAGTGTTGGGTTAAAAGTTGGACTCAATGATCTTAGAGACTTTTCCAACCTAAATGATTCTGTGATTCTATGATTTAGAGATTGACCAGACAATTAGAATTTAATGGTTACATTTTTAACGTCATTTACTCCCAGAGCCCGTACTGGATGGCCCTTGAAAAAAGAAAACAATAATGAAAAAAGTAAAGAAAAACAAAGCAGTTTGACCCCATATTACAACATCAACCAAGCACACTGGAAGTTCTACCAAAGCCAAGGCAGGCTGCTGTGTTCTGTCTTTGTGTCCTTGTTCAAGCACACGGAATCTGTCTTAATATTTGCCACTGGCACCATCTCTCTTGGCCAAAGATTCATTGTCCCTGGGACAGCTTTTCATCCCCTGGCTGAAAGCTCATCTTTTGCCTTACAGCTGGCATGTCTCACACAGTAATAATAGATATCACAACACATCCGGTCTCTCCACATAACATTGGCACATCCTCCTTATCCCTGTGTCATGTTTGGTAGCAAGAATATCTCATCTGCCTGTACACGAGAAAGTATGAACTGGGCTACCAATTGTCCTGGCAGGTGAGGACCTGTGGAAGGAAAATTAAGACAATGGTATTTAAGGCACTTTGGAGCTGTCCAAGCAATCAGTGTTAGTTTAAATAATATACTTTGGATTGCAGGACTTGCCTTGATGTGGACATATTGGTGAGACTAGACCTCTACTTTTTCAGCAGGCTTGAGGAGCGTTACAATAACAGTTGTGACAACCTCTATTTATTTTACCTGCTGCTCTGAGACAAGGACAATCATGTGCGTGTTTGACATGTTGGTAATGAATTTCTTTTGTACCAGGCAAACACTGCAGAATGTCTCATCAAAACATCCTAATTAAGGAGTGGATTTGAGTAGACATACAATCTCTAAAATATCAGAAGTTCCACTCAATTTAATGTACATCCAGCACTCCCAAGAGAGTGTTTCAAAATCACTAAGCTTCTGTTTAGCAAAATGGGGATGAGCGTAGGGGCTCTGAAGGACTGTAAATGAAAGATTACTTAACTCTGAGGGAATTGTCTGGCTCCTGAATGTTTTAAAGCAAGCTTCTTTCTCAGTAGCTTTTAAAAATGTGCGTAAAGCAGATGTTCGTATTGTACAGAGCCTTCCATGGGTCTGTTCAAATAGTCAAACACTTTTTCGAGGTCTGTCAGGAAAGTGCCCTGTGAATCTGATATGTGTGATGTAGATATTGAAACTACTCAAAAAATGGTTGTCTGGTTAAAGTAAAGACTGCAGTGTATTTTCATTTGAAGATTCATTTCTCTTTACACTCAGAATTACCTGGAAAATGAAGGTAAAAGTAAAAACTTTTAAAAATAGGTGAGTTTATTTAAAAGTTCATGTGCACTAAAAGCAGTCAAATTACCTTAACTGTGTCATATTTGATGATTTAAAAAGGAAAATAAAATTTCTTTTTAAAATACAATCCTTGAAATCATCAAAGAGACAAGTTGGAGTTAACAGGAAGCCTTTTGCTACATATAGCCCTGCCTTAGGAATAAAATGTTCACGGTCTTTTTGCTACAGCTTCGTGGATCTCACAGTATTTTGGAGAGACTCAGTGTTGGCAGATCTGTATATCTGCATAAAATGTCCCTGAAGTCTATGGGACATTGGTGATAGGCATGTCAAAATGAATCACATTATAAAACTGTGGTCTAAAGTGGGAAGATGCTACGGGCTGGTCCTTGACTGCCTGATCTCTACTGCATGCTAAACAGCTGCTCTGGAGCCAAGACTATTGGCTCTGTGGTATTGTAAGATTTTGCTATTTTTTTCCCTTTGTCTCATAAAAAATCCTATATACCAACAAGTCTCTGCTCAGAAGGGATTATCTATTTTTTTTATGATGTTCAGTATACATAACCAGGCACAGAATCACTGGGAGAATAGAACAGGATCTTTAGCCTTCCTCTTTTCCCCAGTAGCAACAGCCTTTTGGCAAGGAGAAGCAAACTATCAGAGTATGGTTTCCTCCTGTTAACTTGCAAGTTGAGTCTGGTAACACATTAGCTGACCCACATGGCAGGGCCACACACCTCTCCCAGCTCCCCATTCGTAAGGTCACAGCTCTGTCCACCGTAATGCGTTTCCTTCATTATAAAAAAGAAGCAATCACACAGTAGGTGTTTTGATTGTATCTAGGCCACCACTATTCTTTACCTCCTTTAGAAACCTTTCTTCTAATGCAATATCCTTCTGTGTCCTTAAAGATGTACCTTCTGGAAGCATCGCTTCTTGAATTGCTTTTCAGTACCAGGTTTGATTTACAAATCTTGTGTAAAGACGCAGGTCCCCGACAAACTGCACAAAACAAACTGTGTGTCAGGATCTCTTCTGTAATCAAAAAACTGTTCAAGCTGCATGAGAGAGCAATATCCTGCCTTGCTGACCAGGTGGGAAGCACAGTGCGCAGCTCATGTTTGGCAGAGGAGAAGCTGCAAGTTTTCTGCACCTTCTGCTAAACCTGTTGAGAGGGCACGAGAGCCTTTCTTCTTCAGAGCATGTTTGGAAAGAACAATTTGACATAACAGAGATTGTCTAGGAAAAAGGTTTTCTAAGCAATTAAACTGCTTTCTATACTTTACAGTAAATCCTTTACAGGAGGTATTTCTAGACAAGGTTTGTTACTGGCTGGGCTGTATTATTGAGGGCTCCAGCAGGAATCACTGTGACCGATGTTTGGGTCAGAAGCACACACAGCTCTACTCTTGACCTCTCAACCCCTGTCCAGACCCTGAGTCTATCTCCTAAAGTCCGTTAACATCTACCTTGTAAAGGTAGTATGGAGTTTAATTTACAAATATGAACTGTGTGTAATGTGAGATGGTTCTGTTGTTGCTGTAGGAGAAGATGGCTGTAGGAGAAGAAGTCTACCGTAAGTAGACTTACGGTACCAGGTGATAATTTTCTTAATTCTCATGTTTAAGGGAGTGGAAGATTTCTATTTTTCCTCACCCTTTTTCCTTTCTGCTCTTCCCCCCACCTACTTGGATGATTTTTCAGGTCCATAGGGTGAAGGAATAGGGGTTTGGTTCACTTTCCACAAATCTTTGGAACTGAATTCCTGATCCACTGCTGGACTGGATCTCTAGCCCTGGGAGATCTGCAAAAGCTTAAGACTTGTACCAATATGCTTTGATGGACCATCATTCCTGCCACAGACAGACAGTTTTCTTTGGTGATGCTTTCCTAACAGATTAAGCTGAATGCAATGTAAAATCTTTAACTACACATATTAATATTAATTAACAACACCTTAGTTCTAGGCCCTCTCTGTGCCAGTCCATATGTAGAATGTTTCTGATGACCCAGTGCTTGAACCATGACACTTCTGCTTGGCTATTTTTTAATTCTCTTTGACAGCTCTATCATTGTTGTTACTTGCATATGTACTTGAACTTTAGTTTTAAAAGCCTTTGGTTTTACAGGAGCTGTTGTTTGTAGTAATTTTTGTCAATGGAGTTTTGTTTCTTTTCCACTACCTGATGAAAGAGATGGTTGTGCTTATGTTTTCTAAGTATTGAAGAAGAAACACTTTCCTCCTGAAGCTCAGTAACTGGGTGTTTCACACATTTCCTCTCTGTTAGCACTGGGACATTTTAGCATTCTCATTCTGTATAGCACAAATAAGCTTGAAGTTAAATCCCTGAAGTGAATAAATTAGCCATCAAACTGAGGGTGTTTTTTTTTTTACTCCAAAGCTTAGAATTCCCGTGCTTTCCATCTTGAGAAACATCCTTTTAGCTTAGCTTTTGAGCCTAGCTAAGTAAATGCTTAATGCAGTATTCTTTTAATTCCAGTCCTACATGGAAGATCACCTGAAAAACAAGAATCGTCTGGAGAAAGAGTGGGAAGCTCTGTGTGCTTATCAGGCCGAACCCAGCGACACCACCATTGCACAGCAGGAGGAAAATATCCCGAAGAACCGCTCCCAGGCTGTGGTACCGTGTATGTACACTTTCATTCAGATGATAGCGTTTTAAGCTCTTGACACTTTTCCGAATACCCTTTGCACAGTGGTTTGAAAGCTGCAGATGGCAGGCAAACAGAATGCAGAGCAGCTTCTATGTGCACTACAAAGATGAGGCTACAGATATGTCCTGTTGTCCTATCAGATCATGTTTATCTCCTTAAAAGTTGCATATATGTTACTAAAATGCACAACTATGCCACATAACACTGCTGCTGCAGCTGTGCTGTCTCATGAAATCCCATAGCCAGGGTGCTTTTCAATGCTGAAATATACTTTCTATACAAGAGTGGCATCTGTAGCCATTCAACAGAAAGAAGTTTGGCATGTGTTTAGACAAGTTGGTATCATGTCCATCCAACAGTAATACCAGCAGTCTATAGTCAGAGCTAGATCATCTGTTTATCAGATACTCAGCTGTACTGAAAGAGCCCCTTTAGACTTCAGTGGATAAGCTTGCAAACTGGCTTCTCTCTGCAAGGCTTAGGATAAAAAGAGAAAAAGGGAAAAAAAAAAAAAAGAACCCATGTTTATATTCCTAGAACCTGTTCTTTCCTGTAAGCAGCCACCTTCTGAGCTTGAAATAAAAGTAACATATTTTTCCTATGCAAATATATGTATCTCATAGATTACATTGGTAATCTATGGGCACACATTTTATTAAGCAACCAATGAAACAAAAATGAAACTGAGAATACATGCACAGTCCACAGCAACCAAAATGCTCTCAATCAGTGTGCCCACAATCCAGCTGGATAGCTTGGCAAACATATGTATCTATTTTAATTTTTAAAGTGCCCTGAAAACATTAATTTTCACTAAGAGAACCTTGAATAATTACTATTCCTCCTTTAGAAATGGGGAAATGACAGGTAACACATTAAGTAAATGTCATAGCCAGATTTAGAGTGAAGATTCTTTGGAAGTATGTAATAATTTAACTGAGCCCGTAAGTCCTTGCATATTTGCTTCAGCAGGGTTTGGTTCTTTTGTTTATGTAGTGTCTCTTTCTGCAATACTTTGCTCCTCAGGAGAGGAGTACAGTAGTTTGGCAACATTAATTCTTCTGAGTAAATAAGGTGCTGGTCAGAAGCCTTTTGAGGTAACAGCATCAGTTTGCTGACTTCCATGTGTTTTGGGATCAGGTCTGTTGAGAAGTTCTAAAGAAGTCACCATGAAAGTTAAATTAATTAAAGGAATGCAAGACTTCTGTGCTCTTTTCCATCCTGAAAGAGCAGAATTTAACCAACATGACAGGAAGTGAAAATTGCTCCATGAAAATTGGTATTGATCCAAGTTAATCCTCCCTCTTAAAGTGTTCTATTCAATATGGACTTACAGTCAGACCATCTTAAGCTATTTCAAGTCCCTGCTCATAAATTAAGCCAGATTGGTTTTGGTTGCTGCCTTGGAGGCAGCATGGCAGCTACAAGTGTTGCCAGAAATTGGTGCTGATTATTTGACTGATGTAGAAACTGTGTCTGCATGATACAATGAACTAAGATAGAAACCTTCAGACTAGACTTGTCTACCTCTAAATCCAGAAGTAACATGACTGTAATAGTGCTAAAGAGCAAAGATTTTTACTTGGGTGTCAAAGAATCATTTAGGTTGGAAAAGACCTCTAAGATCGTCGAGTTCAACCATTATCCCAGCACTACCAAGTCCACCACTAAACCATGTCCCTGAGTGTGACATCTACACATCTTTTAAATACCTCCAGAGATGGTGACTCAAGCCTATTCCAATGCTTTCACTCTTTTGGTGAAGAAGTTTTCCCTAATATCCAATCTAAACCTCCCCTGGCACTGTTTGAGTCCATTTCCTCTTGTCCTGTCACTGGTTCCTTGGGAAGAGAAACCGACCCCCACCATGCTACAACCTCCTCTCAGGTAATTGTGGAGAGTGATGGGGTCTCCCCTGAGCCTCTTTTTCTCCAGGATAAAGACTCCCCAGCTCCCTCAGCTGCTCCTCATAGGACTTGTGGTCCAGACCCTTCACCAGCCTCGGTGCCCTTTAGACGTGCTTCAGCACCTCAATGTCATGCAACACCAGAGAGCTGAAGTATTTTCAGAGCTAAGATAGTCTGTCTCTTTTCGTCGTGTTGTACCATGTGGATGTATCAGCCTACACTGATCAGCCTTCAGTTCTCTGCCATTGCTTCTTCCATGGTGTATTGTTACACCTCTTCTTCCCGCTGCCGTGTCTAGACTGAATCAATACTACCTGGACATGGGCAGGGTGACCACAATCCATCTGAAGTTTTAGTTAAAAGTATTTTAGCACATTTAAAAGGCAAAATGCTATTTTTACTTTGTTTCTACAATGTGGGAACTTCTATTACAACTATTAGTGCACTGGGAATTTTCCTTTTTGACTGAATTGCACAAAATTACCTGCCTTCACTTTCTGAAGTGGCTGCACACTGGTAAACAGCTGTCGTGTTATATCCCTAAAACTATTTTGTTGATGAGTGAAAAGTGTGGCATAGAATTTAAACAATATTAAATTTTGATAAGCTGGTTATTTTAGACTACAAGATTAGACTGAGATGAGAAGGCCCAGTTTGCCCACTTTTTTTTCCTTGTTAGGCACTAAAACTATAGAAAAAAGTCATAGATTTGCTTCATAATAAATGAAGAAGCAAACCTGATATGATTTTAATATGCTATAGAGTTGTTACGCTACATTCAATGTATTCTCACAGAGTAATGTCTTGTTAGTGTGTCCTTACCCCTTTCATATTAATAATCACCTTGTCAAGGTAGAACAAGATTGCCAATTCATGTAGAAGATTTCATCTTAGGAAGGCCTCAAAGAAGCTTTAATATCATGTTGTATTTGCTTTTCATTTTCCTTTCTTAACCAGTCTTAAAATAATACAGTGTTATTTTTTACTGATTATATAACCGATTTAATTTCTAGATTAACATTATCACAATTTTATCATAGCTTGCTCTTATACCTATCTTCTCTATTTACAAACAGCTTTTAAAATACTTGATTACAGAACACCTTGACACTGCACTTAATTAATTACTAGTTAAAAAAATTGTAACAATTCGAATAAACTGTACCTTCTAGATTAACAAAACTGTATCCTTCTATCCAATCAACAAGCAGATTGCTATAATTTAGGGCAGTCAATGTTTATATTTAGTACTATAATTTAGTGATACCTTTTTTTCTGTAGTAATATATGAGCAGCCCAAAAAAAGCTTTCCAGAATTTCTTTTCTCTTTTTGCATCTCTGCAAAACAAACCCATCTCAATAGGGTCAATACTGTATGTTTTGATGTATGTACCCCATAAATATATACAGGTGTTTAAAGCATTTGGCAAACAAGTTTTTGTAGTGAACATCTATCAAAAGCTGCCCACTGTAGCTGTGTCCATGGGTCATGGTGGATATTAAAGCAACCTGCTTATCTCTGTGTTTGGCTTTCCTACAAAGGAGAGCAAAGCATTTGTGGGCAGAACATGCACCCAGCTCTGAGGCTTGTGTGCTTTTTAGAGCACAGCCAGGAGTTGTGCACCAAAGATGGAACACCTGAACAGAGGGCACCTCCTCCGGGTTGGTTCATTATCTGTGTCAGGAATGGATGTACGAATAGTGCTCTGAAATAAATGAACTTGATTTCAGTTCAGAGCCAAGAAAAGTTCCATTTTGTGCTGATCATCTATAGGCAAAATAATGATAATCAACAGATTATGATTCTTCATAGTCTTCAAACTGCTCCACTTTTGCTCCTTGGCAGTTCTTCCCTTTCTTACTTCAGTGCAGTTCTATACAGTGCTTTGTATGGAAAAAAATCAGTCTAAATCTATAAGGAAGAGAATGATGGTCCAGGCAGAATGTGCCAGGTTGATAGTTGTAAGATTTGCCCTGATCTCTGTTGCCTGGGTTCACGCAATCCAGAGTTGTCCATATTCCTTGTTTTTAGCCTTTTTTTTGTTGATTCTGTTCCTTCAGAAGTATCTGATTAAAAGGAAACAGAAGACAGAGGGAAGATGTGAGTCTTACTTTTCCAAGCTTTCAATCCCCATCTAATAACAGAAATGATAGATCTTCATTAAGTTTAGACAGAGGAATCCAGTGCCATTTGAGATGCCTAAAGTATTCAAGGTACCCAGGCAGAACTAGCAGCTATAACACAAGCTCTGTGAGAAGCCTGTGCCTCTCCTAGCTGCTAGCCTGAGTGTCCTTAAAACACCTCAGGTACCACTAGAAACCCACACACAAGCATTGAAATCAAGTTCTCTGGGCATGAGTCAGTGAAATCGTAGATTAGGATGCCTAAATTTAAGTCTCTGTGTAGCTGCCTCCACATGAGCCAGGTGTCAAAGCACCTGATACCACCAGTGAAGAACCAGTTAGTTCAGTGACATCAAGAGAACTCTGCAATGGCCAAAAGTTGGTGTTTAGTTTACAGTGAAATAGCTCTAGGATGCCACTGTACATCCTGTGTGAGCTACAGATGCTGGTTCAAGAGGGTACAAGTCTTTAGGTCTTGTGTCGTATCTGTTATCCTTGTGCAATGTCTCGTCTACTTTACAGTCTCTCAAACATTACATCTTCATGTTTAGCCAACTAAATAGAGCTCCATTAAGTGTAACCACTTCACATGAAGATATCTGTATATAGATGCCAAAACTTAGATTTTTTTAGTCTATAAATTGAATTTTTATATACTGTAAACTCATGTGTGTCTGCTTATATTATGTACTTTATCCTCTATCCTTTATATTTTATAATTTATATTTTATATGTGTATAAAATACAACATTGTGCTATATTTTTCCACAACCACAGGTTAGTCTAGCCATCTTATTTAGGAAGCCTCTCTCTGCCACATATATCCATCTACATATTTTGCTTTTCTTTCAGCTGTGGCTTGGCTGGAGCAATAGCAAATGCAAAGTAGTTCAGCACTCAGCAGCAGCTATTGTAGATACTTAAAATGATGATGAGTTGTAGCTTGGCCAGATTGCACTACCTAGTAACAGCATTTGTCTTTTCTCTCACTGCCTTATTACCATCCCTCTCCTCTCCTGTTTCTTCATTCATCTTTCTCACTTTTTAGATTGATCTTACATATCTTCCTTTTTTTGACATGCCTGTCCTTACTTTTACTTCCTACTTCTCCTGATTCTCTTTCCTTGCTTCCAGCATAATCAATATACAGTTTACAAAAAAAAAAAAATCACTTTGGTGATTTTCCCTGTAGTCGCTCATTGTTATCATAACGTTCTGGTGTCCGTGGTATTCTGTTGCGGTTTTTTTTTCCTTTTCTTCTTTCCCTGCCTGTTTCTGAAGATCTATTATGCAAGTTCCTAGAAGCTTTGAGGTGATAACAGGCATAGACAAGCACAATCTGTTCATTGTCAATATGAATGCTTGATGCTGCAACTGAAGCACACATGGGTGCAAACTCTTGATATATGCGGAAAACACATGTACAACCTTTTTTGCACACTTTTTTTTTCTAAGTGCAAATATAGTCTCACCACCTTTTCACTACCAAAGCCTTAACAAGTCTCACCCTCTGATAAACCCTCCAAGACAGCAGAATAATGACATGGCATTATTCAGAGGGTCCGGATAAAACATTTTGTTTTAAAAAGAAAAATCCTGAAGTTACTTATCTGACTCCTGACTTTTATTGGAGAGTCACCCTGTGTCTGTTTGCTAAAAACTCATGGATCACTGTCTGCTTTTTCTCCCTCATCCATTTGAAAACATTTCACATGTTTTCTTTGGTGATTAGTTCAAACACTTTTGCTGTCCAGTGAATGAGGCTTATCCTGAGTGCTTGCTTAGTTTAAGGTATGTGAGAGACCACATTTGCTGCATGTAACCTGCATTCCTTCTGCAAAGACAAAAGGTTTCAGAGCTGTAATTCTTCAGGCATTCTGTGACAATGCTCATTGTAAAACTTCCTGTAAAAAATATTGAGTAGCCCAAGATCTCAGGTGTCAAAAGTTCATTTTTATATTTTGGATTTTTTGTGCAATGGTGCCAAAGTGAGGTGGAAGTGAATAATGTGCATGAACATGTTCCCTTTCTCATCTTCTTCATCCTTCTGTTGTGTTGAAACCTTACCAGGGAAAATAATTTTATGTGAATAGTAAAGACTGGCTCTTCATTCATTTGACATGACTTATTCATCACTGATCTTATTCCAGGAGAATGTTGTTGACATTGCTGGGTGAGATTGAATGACTGTAAACACTTGTACAAGCATCCCTCTGTCTTGCTCATATATTGAACTGCCATGGCATTACTGTTGCATGAGCTTAACCTCCTGTGAGATACTTAGAATATTTGATAACTCATTTATTATTCTTCTTTATTAAAATATTGACTGGTACTTCGTAGTTTAAAAAACATCTTGGAATCCTGGTGTTAAGAGTGGTGTCACAGGCCACTAGACAAGGTACAAAAGGGGACAGGCTGTATTCCTACACTCTTATTTTGTCTATTTGAAAAATCAGTGGAAAGATCCTCTCAAAACATCAGTATCCATGTTCAGCTGTAGAGGGTTACAGAAAGGGCAGGTCCACAACCTCTTCCCACAAAATACTGTGTGGAATAGGTTTGCTGAGAAGTATAAATCATGCTGGTTATGTATCAGGTACAAGCTGTTTGAGATTCTTATGTAAAGACTTAGACATCTCTCGCGTAAATTATCTGAGTGTGGTCTGGTCTTTCTTTCTTTAGTCAATGGAAGGAAATGGCATTTCTTGAGTACAGTTTGGCCTGTTTCAGACAGCTAAATCAGGATGAAATGATTCATCACCTAGAAATATTTCTTTTCTCTTAGCAGAAAGTGAGTCTAGATGATTGGAAGAGATGCAGACATCTGCATTGTCGCTGTCTAAGTATAGACCAATAAAACCCATCCATTATATACGTCCTGAAATAAAAAAATTTAAAAAAAGAAAAGGACTAGAGTTTGGGGTGTACCAGCTTTAAATATAATTGAGCTAGCACCAGTAAAATTACAAGTTAAAAAGTGATAAAATAATCTTGATGATGGGCAAACAACATAAGTCTCCTATGTCCAGAACTGGTGTTTTCCTTACTAGTCTTGTCTGAACCAGCTACAATAGCATCAGTGTAAGATATCTATGTGTGCTCCAGTTGTACTTTAAGTGCAATTGTGATTGGGATTTGATCTTCAAGTCGTATCGTCTCCACGTGTCACTAGTGGAGCACCACACAGCACTGGTCTTTGATCAAGGCAGATTAACTTACTGTGCATATCTCAACTGTACTTCAGTGTTCCTGCTGTTCATTCTGTAGAGAAGCCAGGTGGACAAAGTTCCGTCAGCTTCCCTCTTTTATGACCCTGAAAACACAGGAGTGTTTCCTGTAATACTGGGAATTTTTTAGTGATTTGCCTAGTTTAAATCTTAAATTCCCTGAACAGCGCATATTCCCATTTTAATTAAGAGAGGTTGTAGCACATCACAGTGCATCTCAGGAAGACAGGCTTTTCTGATACTGAGCCCCTGGAATATCCCAGTGCTTCATTCCTGAGTCAGACTGTGATGCTGTGGCTGTATCAATGCTATGGCTAGGCTGGGAATCAGAAGGAAATATCCTTTCTGATACTTACCATTTACCGGTCTTGAAATGCACATTAATCTAACGTTGTAACTTATAATGGGTAGAATACTGGTATAGAAACTTTCTTCTCTTATTTTCTCCTTTGCAGATGACCATTCCAGGATATGTCTGAAAGGTGAAAGCAGCCACGACAATTCAGACTACATCAATGCTAGTCCAATTGTAAGTACGGTAACATATGAGAAAGAATCCAAATAGTTGATTCCTGTCTTTCCTTGTTGCCAAAATATGCTCACTTGAGGCACCTCACTGCTCAGATTGTGCAACCTCAGGTTGTGAGCACCTCACAACTCTGTTTCAGGCTGTCCTTACAAATTGAAGAGAAATAAATAAATAAATAAGTACCTTTTCAGTTTATGTACTAAGAAAACAAAGTCATTAGATTGTCCTCATTCTACCTTGTAATACTGTCAGGTTTTCTGTACTTGATATTATTAACTTACGAATTATAAAATTCAATGCTATACCCTTGGTGGAGCTTTTCCTTCTCCAAGGAGGTAAAAATAGCTTGTTCTTTTTTGCTTTGCCCTACTAGCTATAGCCATGGGAGGAATAGATTTTGTAGTCATGGAGAGCTGAGCTCCACAGACTTCTGAGCTTCTGCATCAGAAAGTGACATTTCCTCTTACCTTTCTTTCTCTGGTGACCCACTGATGAGCAACCTGGTGTTTCTGTAGCTCTTCTGATTCTCTGAGCTTGCTGTTTTCAAAGCAAGAACAAGATCCCTTACCCCTTGTATAATCATTCCAACTGCAAAGTAGGTCAATCCAATTTTTGCATCCAGATACTCCAGTGTGGCCAAGCTGCCATTTCCCACCTTATGTAAGTTGAATCCTCTCTGGTCTGTGAAAGGTGATAGGGAGAAAAGGTCTCTCTTTGTAGACACAAAATAGGTATGATAGTGCCAGTAGCATTGCCCTGTCATGCCATCTCAATGGAAGTGTCATGATATCTATGTGAAGGGGGGAAAAGGCTCAGTGTCCTTGACCTCTGTGGTACTGCTAGTATTGGAGTCACTTTTTTTTATGCTTTTTAGTCACGTTAATTAGGCACTAATTAAAGTTATTAGAGGGAAACTATGAAAAAGAACTTAGGATGGAGAATTAGATCTCACTGCAGTGGGCTGTATATGCCATTACTGGCTCATTTTCCTGGGGAGTGTCACTCCCCCAGTTAAATGACTTCGTGTGGGCAAGGCAGCTGACAATTTGCAACAGCATGAAATTACAGTCTGCTTACTTCCAGTGTTGTTAACAATACTTTTTTTCTTAAAAAAACCCACAAGTACATAAAAGCTGTTCCCTGATCTCTGTTTTCTTTACTTTCAGCAGAGTTCAAAAGCTTCATTCCTTCAACATATCAAAATGCTATATTCTGAGAGTTAGAAAATACACAGAAGTCAACAAACATCTTTGGGATTTTGTTGTCTTTCGCTTAGAGTAGATGGGAAACCAAAGCACCTGCACATTCAGGGATTGCCAATTTTAGAGGACAAGAACGTACATGCACAGATTAGAGTTTCTGGACTACTTTTAGGTATGTCTCTGACTAGACCAAGCTCTATTTGGCACCAGGATCAGCAGATCACAGTAAGTTGGTGCACCAAGGAATGTGTATCCTGCCTGTAAAGTCATACACAGAGGTCCAGCTCCAGTGCTTCAGTGCTGTTTGCATGTCTTCAGGACACAGTTGGTGAGTTATGTTTGGTCAAGCCTTAATTTGGTAGTAGAAACAGAGAGGTTTTTTTGGGAAGCACAGGAGTGGGAGAGGATAACTGGAAGATATCTTATTCTTGTAAGAGCTTGGTTGTAATTCGCATGATTACAGCTTGATGTCAAAGTGGACTTACAGCATCTGTAGACAGTGCTAAGCTAGGTTCAGTGGTTGCAGCTGTACAAATGCTGGGATTTACCAAAAACTCAAGATGGGCTACTGAACCTACCCAAAAGTCTGCATAGACACAGCTTAACTAGTTTTAGTACAGATTTGGTTGGAGAAGTGATAAATTCTCGCATGTGTGTATATGCCTGTTGCAATTGTAATTCTGGATTATAGTGTAATTATTTCTTTAATTACACTGAAAAGTATTAGATTAAGTAGTATTGGAGGTGAAGAAACAGGACCAAGACATCCCATTGACAAAACTGGTTTGCTTTGCCAGGATGCCAGAAGCTAATGCAAGCAGAAGGTCTCTGCTTCCACAGCTTAAATTCTTGTGTTTTTACACAGAAGCTGCCTTTCTATCCAGCTCTTAATAAGGGTATTTTCTTCTGCAGGGTTAGAAGGTATTTCTTTTTTTGTCGCTTTCCCACTCTCAAGAGTTTTGTTCAATAAAACAAGTCACACTGACGAAGCAAAAAATCTTATGGTTGTGTTAATATCTCTCGCAGAAATATTTCTATACCCAGAGAAGAGTGGGTTCACAAGTGTTTTATTAGACTGAGACAAGTACCCAGTAACATAACCAAGGAAAATTACCAAGAGAAATTCTTGAGTTCTTTTTCTTAATGGTAGGATAGAGAACCTACTGTTTGGGGAGAAGTGCCACAGATGACATTTGTGTAGACCTGCTGTTCCAAGGAAAGATGTGCTGCAGATAGTTACGTGAGTCCATTTCACTGAGTAGTCATTTTGCTATTTTGAAAGCAGTAGATCAAAATATGTGTTTCCTGAAGGTGATGCAGTGGGAGGTTGACAGGAGGAAATCACTGCTTTGCAAGCCCATGGTTTGGAAAGATTCCCTGCAAACCGTTGAATTAAAAAAAAAAAAAAATTAAATATCTTCAGGTGAGTGTAAACATATTTGTTAATCTGGTATAGTTTTTGTAAAATGAGGTAGAATATAGGAGTGGCAGAGAGATTCAGTCTCTGTTCCTCTCCACCTCAATTGCCTACTGGAATATTGTGTTGGGCACTTGATTCTGCAATATTTACTGTGGTTGTACAGCTGTTGCAGCCTGAGCTGGCTATACGTGCTATTACTGCTGATCTCTATTTGAGATCTTTTCTGTTAGCAGGCACACGTTCAGTCAGTGTCCTTGTAAGTGTGCAGTGGATGTGGAGTACCAGTACAGTACTGATCTGCCTTCGCTTGCTCTTGCAAAAATCCTACCATTTCTTTCCTTCAGACTGCTGTCTTTCCACTTAAATAACCTCGGTAATTATCATATCAACACAGGGATGCTCCTGGTGCATTTGGCATTGCAGCGCTTGGGTGAGGAGTGAGCACTGTGATGAGCTGCAAGATGGGCCTTAATAGCTCAGGATCAGTACAGGCTGAACTGACTGGAAGAGGCTTTTTCCTCCCCATGTGTGTGAGCTGTCTGGTGGAGGAAGAGTGTAAAATAAAGTAATTATATCTGAGCTTCAGAAAGGGAAGCTGCCAGTTGGGTGCATGTCACTGGGTATCTCCAGCTTCTGGGTCAGTGGTCCAGTCTCCAGCTGGGGCTCACTCAACCTTAACTGAAGTCTAAATGAGTGCAGCAGCACACCTTAAAAAAAAATCCCCGTGCTAAACAATGAGCTGGCCACCTGCCCACATGTTTCTTCCTTTTAAAAAGTGCTACCTCTCCTCAATACCTCCTTTCTCTCCAATATGATGTGAAAACTGGGGTTAGATTGGTGGCCTCACAGCAGCTGGGAACGGGTGAGGAGAATCAGGAAAGATTTAGTCCAAATTCTTCCCATAGGTCTTTAATTTCACTGTAGTGTAAGGCCAGGCAAAATGAGTCCTTGGGATAAATTTGCAGGGTAGAAATCTGTTTCCCTCCTCTCTGAAATAACATAAAGTACTATGATAATAACTCTGCTATCGGCAGCTGAATGAAAGGCTTGCAATTACAGCACAAGGAGACCCTGACTGTGCAGAATAAAACTGTGATAATTACTTCTGTCATATTTGTACTTAGTCCTCATTAAATTTCAGGAAAATCATCCAGTAGTAAATAATGTGCAATCTTTGCTTTTAAATCAGAGGTCATGAAAGTAAATGGGAAATTCTGTTTTTCCTCATAGGGTGTCTGAGAGAGAAAAAATCCCGTCAACTACATTTTAAAACTCAGTTTGCTTATTATTGAAGACACCAGACTGAGGAATGTCATTAGCACGACAGTTTGTTCAAATACAGCATACAAATTACATCACCAAGAATAGACTCTGAAATTCATAATGGCATTCACAACCAGATTTACTTCTTTCATTCCATTAGGGGTTTTAAAGGAAGGATTTAAAAAATTGTTTTAAATTTTAATTCAAACATGAAGGGGAGGACAGGTCTACCTTTTTAATTTTAATACTGAGATAAATATGATTACAAAGTTCATCTGCATTTGCAGGATATGCTTTCTTTTACATAAACAAATAAACTTTTTCTGCTTTTAGAGACTGCCTATACTTTGTGTAATAAATAAATACATGCATGGAAGTAGATTTTGTTGGGGCTATAAACACATTAAGTCTGGAAACCACACAGTAGCTTGAATCGATATGAATTTTTAAGGTGTTAGTAGGATTTCAACTTCCTTTCTGTCAAATTTGGTGTACACTGGATCTCATTCTGATCTCATGTGATTTAGGAATATTTCAGCTGGATTCAGAGGATTTAGATGAAGGTAAATGGTGTGACTGAGACCACATCTCACCCAGCATCTTTCTCTGTGGAAAGTAAGGATCTGACAAGCTGAAAGGGAAGGTAAAGGGCAGGAATGAATGTGTTATCATTTATGAGATTTCAAAATGGTCATTGATGCCTATTGACGGTTTTACTTCAGTTTACAATTTTACAAGGCTACTTAATAAGAATCTACGTGTGCCACTCTCAAGTCCAAATACAATACGTTTGAGGATTTACTCCCAGAATGTATTGATTTTGCTGTATTCCATCAGCATTATCAGTGAAATCATGCAGCAGCAAAATCTCTATCGAAAAACTCAACAAATTTCAGCGTTCTTAAGGGAATCCTTGCAAAGTCCTGGGATAAGACAGCAAGATAATAGAACTCTTGAAGGAAAAACTAAAGGTGTAGCTTTTATTCTCTAGTAAAGCACAGGTGAAATTGTGGTCTGATGTTAACAAAGGTGAAACCAATTGCGATAGTGTTCTTTATATTTTTTCCTACTTTAAGGTACCGTAATTCAACTTATATTACAAAGCACTGTAGAAAAATATAAGTTGTGTCACTAAAGTTTTATCTAATTTTTTTTTCCAAGAAGAAATCTCAATGCTCCTCCTGTTTGTTTCCATTTGCTTTCAATATTGGTAGTGACGGAAATCACCACAGTCAGTGGTCAGTTATAGTAATCCTTGATCCCTAATATAAAATCATGGAAAAATAGATTGAAGCATTATCACCAGACTTGCCTTTGTTGTACTGCAGTAGAAAATGAGAATTCCATCATAGTAGAACAGTTGTAATAATTGCAGCTTTTTCTTTCTAACAATGGCTGTTCGATCCAGTTCTAATGTAAGCCTTGTGAACTTGATGCTTTGATGGGGAAGAGGGAAGAATCCCATTCTTTTTGAACAACTACTATTAGGGTGATTTCTGAAGGTTGTTCTGATGTAAAATGTTAGCAAACAGTCAATTTTTGGTTTAATACTTGATTGTATGGAGTCTGCAGTTCTCCATTCTTCTCTGGAGAATGCATTTTCTATTTTATTTTCATGAAGTGAGAAATCTGAGGGATCCTTGAAAGAAGATAATGACTAGTGACATAAAAAAAAAAGCCTTTTACTTGATCCTTGATTAGTTAGTTTAAAACCCATTACTGACTTTATTTCTTTATTCAAACTTCTGTTAACTTTGATAGATTAAGTTGCCCTTAGTGTTCTTGGTGACCTTGAGAGAATCAAAAAGAACATAGCAAAAACATTCAAGAGCCGTCCCTTGCCATCACCTACTCACGTTAAATTGAATGTGACCAGGGTAGTGATTTTTCACACTTTTCTTGAAATACGTGGCCTTTAAAACAGTACATGTAATAGAAAATTGATGAAACCAGGAATTTAATTTAATTAGTTTAATCTTTGCTCTTATTTTTGTTCAGTTAAAGATCATTTAATTGTGTGATAGGGCTTTCTGCCATCTTCTATTTGCTCCAAGCAAGAAGAGTTTCTGCTCATAATTGTTTTTTGTGCACCGCAATGTGTTTGGAATATAATAATTGTAATTGTCTTTTGGATTATTGTTAAACTGCTGATATACTTCACTACTCTGTGCTTATTGTAATGTTTACCACGTTCCAACAGCACCTTTGTGAAAGAGGTTGATTAATGCTGAAATGCCAAGATTGGCCTATTCCTGATTTATCAGCTGAATGTTGAGGAATGTTTCCTCCATGACAGTGCTATTTGCATTATCCTTGATTTCTTCTGCCTTTGCTTTCTGGCATGTCTACATACAAAGAATTTATTTTAAGAAGAAATTCAATTATTTTTCTAAAGTTTGGTGTATTCACTATTGGTTACATTTCTGAGCCAGGCTCTCACCTGTCGAAGAAGTGACATCATTTTCAAGTGGATGCAACAGTCTCCACAGGGAGTAGCAAGTCCTCCTCAGTGCAGGTCAATTTTTCTAAGTTAAGATTTTTAGTTCCAGCATAGGAAACCATTTCAGCACAATGATGATCTTCAGGATTCAAAACAAAACAACTACAGAAATTATTTCAACTATAATGGAGAAAAAAAAGAACACTTTTAAGCACGAATTTGCTTAATCACATTTGCTGTTGTTTTCAGCTGTGTTTAGTTCAGTGTCTCCAATTCTTACAAAAATAAAACAAAAAAAAATAGTTGCCCTTTTTGAAGTGGTTCCTAAGGTTTTTTTGTTAATACTGCTTTCTGAAGAAAGCTGGTTTTCCTCTGGTCTCAAAATACCTGCTATCAGAATTGCTTTTGTCAAAAGGCAAAGAAAGTAAGGTTGAAATTTACTGTGAGCAATTGCTTGTTTTGAAGATTTATTTGCTGATAAGAGAAGCATCTCAATGAAACACAGAATAAAATGATGGTGTTGTAGACATCCTGGACAAGTTTTTTTGTAACTATGGGTGGTGAATCAGAAGTAAGCTTTTAGTCTGAATTGATTCGGTGACTTCATTTTACCTGTGTTGTGTTGTCATGGGGAATTTTAATATTAAGTCCGGCTTAATTATATGTCAGAAAATTAGAAACATAAAAGTGTTCTCTTCCTTTTTGCAACATTCATTATATTGTTGTTCTTTCAGAATAACTTACATCTGTTCTTTTATGGTTCTTCCCTCTTTTATGTTGCACATAATTATGAGGTGCCTTCTTTTGCGCTGACATGTACCATCACTGAAAATTTTGATAGGCTATGAATAAATTCAGGAGATGCCTGTTAATGCAAATGTGACTCACATTCGTTCTTATTCAGATCTTTACTTATAGAACAGAATCACATATTGAGACAAATTCTGCCTTCAGCTACATGGATATAAGTTAACTCTCACCGACTTCAGTGTCACTGAGTCACACCCACACGTCTGAGAGCTGAACCGGGTCTCTTTTCTTTTTGTTCAAAGTTTTGTCTTGCCCAGGGTTAGAATGAGTTTGTTTGTTTTTTAATCCTATCAGCAGATCTTCTTTTTCAGCAGAATGAGTCCTAAGATTTAGAACCAAAAAAACCACCCATCAGTTCGAAAACATTCATTGTAACACACTAATCCTATTTACTCTTGATGGCTTTGTTTCTCAGATTCTTTATTTTTTCTGCTCAGTGAATTTTCTGCTCCTTGAATTAAACGTAATAATTAAGGTCTTTAAACAGAACTTCCTCCATTGAGGCCAAATCCATGCATTTAGATAAATCAGCTAACCAGAAAAAGCCAGAAACTGAATTTGTTCCCCATTTTTGCTGGTTTTTAGTTGCATGTGCCCTTGACTGGCACAGTGGAAATGGAGAACATATTTAGATGTGTGGAGCATTCTTAACATTCAGTGTAGAAAAATGTTTCAAATGGCTCCTAGGTTGCTATGAAACCACAAGTACTGATCTCAAATAAATGCCTTTGTCAGCCACCATAAGTGATCTTACTCTGCATATTGAGGACATAGGACATGGCTCATCATGTGTGATGATATTCATCTGGTAGCATCAGTCTTTTGGGGGAAAAAAACAGAAATAAAATTCTCTGCTTGCCAATAAAGGATGGAGGGACAGGACTTTAGGAAGTCCCTTGTTCTGCCCTTACATACTTTCCGTCTCTAACGCAGCAAGCGATTTTTCTTTCAAATAAATCCAGTCCATGTTCTTTTTCCTTATTCCAGATGGACCATGACCCCAGAAACCCTGCATATATTGCCACCCAGGGTCCTCTCCCTGCTACTGTTGCTGACTTCTGGCAGGTAAGTTAAATACCTCTTTGAAAACTGAATTTATGTCGTAAGTTTTCCTATGCTTCTGGAAACGTAAGTTGTATAAAAATATGTTGTGCTTGAGTCACTTTAGGTGTAATAACCTTCATTCTAATGTCTTTGTTAAATCTAGTACATAGATATTCAAGCCATCTATGTATTAAGACAAGCCCTGCTAAAGAATAGTTGATCTGAAAATTATTGAAAACCTCGGGCCAAAGTATTCATGTTTTAGTGCCAGGTCTCTGTAATTAAATTACTGACAAGGACTGGGTGATTTTGAGAGGGCCTGACCTTCTGAAGAATGTAGCCAGAATTCATGGTCACTCTCCAGATTAGAAAGGACCTAACATTGTGTGCCATGAATTTTCCCATTGAAACCTACTTCTCACATGTCCCAGTTCCCCAATATGCTTAAAGTCTTATGCATTTTCCTTACCACACATAGTCAAGACCCAGCTGCATAAATTTAAATAGGGGCAGAATTTTTTGCAGGGTTGGGGCTAAATGCAGTAGTTATTGATATACAAATAGGAATTTACTTTGCATGCAGGTGTTTTACTTGCTGGTGCAGCTCTCAGATTTGGACATACACACATTGCTGGGCTAGATGTGTGTGATGGACACACTGTGTTAGATATTCCTTTGGAAGTGTAGAAGTGCACCTGACAGGTCACAGGAGCTGTTTGGGGAGGAGGCCAACTGGGTCTTATTATCAACACAAACATATATTTGGGTTTTATTGTCTTGCATTATGAGTTTAGAAGCATTTTTTGTTAAGATAAAGAATATCTGTGCAACAATTTCAGATGTCATTGTATTTTAGTAGCTTGCATCAGTTGAAATCATTTCTTCGTCTGCATTGCATGACCTATGATTAGAAAGTATTAACTGATCCCTATTGAAGATGTTTTTCATGTCACAATTTCCTGCTTTTTATGACAAGAAATCAGCACATTTGCAAAAAAACTGTTGAATTTTGGATGCCTGGATATTTAAGTGCTCAGTCTGAGATATTTTGGGACTGGTTTTAGAAGGGCAGAGCAGATGCTTTCTGCTTGAAGTCAGTTGAACTTTTGGTCTGGCTTAAATTTTCAAGTGACTTGTGGGTTTTATCTTCACTGTTTGGTAATTAGACACAATTGCGAAGACTGATCTTTTTTCCCTTGGAAGGTGGATTCCTTATGACAGGCATGGAACTTGAAAATGTATCTGTTAAGTTAAACATGCAGAATCGAATTCTATATTAGCTGTTCTGTAATGACATTTTATGATTCCTAAGGCCCAGGCTCTTAATTGCATATTTTTACGTATTTATATATTTACATTTTGTATATTTTCACCTGCACCTGCCCCTTTACATGTTGAAAAAAGAGCCCTCTTTGTATAAGCATTGCAGAAATCAGAATTAATCATACAAACACAGTATGAACAGTTAGGCAACCTGTTTGCATGGTCACAGAGACTCCAACTGAAATGTTATTTTTTTGTTCTGTGATCCAATCTTCTTCATTCCAACTTCATACTCAAAAGATCTCTTTCTTTCCTTTCTTTCCTCTTGCTATTTTGAGTGGAGGAGTCTTCACTTGGCTTCTGCTCTTTTTGCTATTTCTCCTCCCAGTTATCTGTCAGTGAAAGTTCACTCCATCTCCCCACCAGATTTGCTGTGAACATCTGCACACAAACCATTTGGAAGCCGTGGTTCACCTTCGGTTCGAGTGTTGCTATGTGTCCATTTTTGATGTTTTGATGTTCTTTTATTGTTTATTCTATTAGGTCCCACAGGAAATTTGGTTTCTGAGATTTACTTTGATTATGTCTGTCACTTCAGCATAACAATCTGCCCATGTCAGATTGGTCCATCACCCACTTTTCTTAAACTTCCTACTGAACACATGTCAATGTGCCAGTTCCTGTCCCAAGCCTTTTACATGCCCCAGGGTACCAACTAGGCATAATAAACAGGCCAAGAGAGATTAACTCCTTACAGAACAGTGCATCCTCAACCACTGCAATGTAGTAGACCCAGTGTACAAGTGAAAAGCCATGGCTTGAAGATGTTGCAGTTTATGCCCAGTTGCAGGAGTAAACTTAATTTCTGGTTCTCACGTAATAGTACCTATTTTAAGGTAAGGCCTGGGAAACCTGAATGTTCTAAGGAAAATAGAGCCTTAACTGCTGTCAGGGCACAATCCTTTGATATTTATTTAATACAATTTTCTGTAGTTTATGGTGCTTCCGTGGTGCTGCCACTGGGGACTGTTTAAAGATTCAATTATTCATTCCTGATGCTTCTTCTCAGTGGTTCTCCTCCCTCTCCCTCCTCCACTTAATCCCAGCTGTTGCTGAGTTGTATTGCTCTTTTCCCTTTTTTGTGCTCAATGAGGCAGTTTTCTGACTGATGTGAGAAGAATGACTGACTCCAGAGGGATGTGGGACTATTCTGCTGTTCCTTGTCTAAATGCACATTGTCATGCTTTAGCAAGTCCAACAGAAACACTTGGAGTTTCATCACTGTCTATGGCAATATTTACTAGATGTATTGCTCCTAATTTTTGCAGAGATTTAGCTGCTAGGATTTCTGAGAGACCAGTTGCACGGTAAGCAGCAGCCACTGCATTGTATCTTGGCTGAAAGGCTGCCCCAGCAAGAACTTGTTATAATTGTTTCCACTCTGTAGGTATTTCAAACTGATTTCTAGGAAACACTGGTCCAAAGAGCATTTGTTTTACTTGAAAGTGTAAGGCAACTTTACTGGCATTTACAGCACAGCTGATACCCATAATGAAATCCAAACTGTTTCTGATTTTACTGTCTAGATTTCATGCTCAAATTTCTGACACAGCTTTTAAAACTGGTTTCCCTTAAGCTTGCATTAGATTCTTCCGCCAATCAGTGACTACGTCTACAGTAGCAAGCAGTGTGGCCCACTATGAATGGATTTGTAGAATGTCACAGCACTTTGTAGGTTTTACTTCAGACCAACTGTTCATTAGTCTAAGGGACTGAATGTCTCCTGGCAGCGGAGAAGGCTAAAGATGTATCTGGAGGAAGCTCCTTTCTAAAGGACCTCAGTTCCTGAGCTCTGACACTGTTCTGCTGTTTCTGCTGCTCTTGGTCTGTCCACTACATGATCATGTGGTCACATCCATTATCTCTATTTAAGATCAAACAGATAATTAATTTTGGGTGATATTTTTTTCCTAGTTTTATTGGCAGGCTCGTCTAAAACATCTTGTGTTGATTCAGTGGCCAGTATTTTAGTGCAAGTGCTGTTAGACACTTAGCAATCAAATTCCCATTTACTGTTTTCAAGTTGCCCAGATCTGAACAAAGATCATAGTTAGATCAGTGTCTTCTCTTTCCCAAACTAGACAAAGCTTTTTCATACAACGTTGATGACACTTGATCCAGGCTCATCTCATTTAGCATTCTTCCCACAGTGAGCAGATACAAACCTAGTACCACTGTGGGACTGAAGAGGGACAAGTTTCATTGATCTCACTAGTGACCACTTCTTGGAAGATTATGTCTTTTTGGTAGGGTGGAGAAGAGGAGGTGTCATTCTTCAGTACCATCTAACTAGAGCTGATAGAGCTGGACATTAGACTCAGAATTTTCTGTATGACTTCCTATTCATTTGGGTTTTCAACTTCCTATTCATTTGAGTTTTCACATTGACTTGAGAGATCCAGCTTGATGGAAGTTTTTCTTTCAAAGACACAGTGTTTGAGCTGGATATTGGTTAATTTTCAAATGGTGTTCAAATTTGTACATGTTGTGAAAAATAATAACGATAAAAAAGACAATAGTCTTACACTGGCTTTTCTAATGGCAAAAGACCACTTCCAGGCATCAGACTTCCACAGTTATCTCTGACCTTCCAGTTTACTTCTGCAGCTCCTTAGTTTCTTGGCATAGCTCCTCTCAGTCAGCAAGTGCCAAGGTAGTTCCAACTTTCCTGGCTCACCCATTTCTTTGAAAACTTTCTAGCCTGCAGGAGTTGTGTTGTCAGTCATCTCATTGATCTGTTTTGCCACAGGGCTTCCTAATCTGTCTGCATATTCTGTGTTTGTGGCTCAAGCACAGATTTCATCTCTGCCTGCTTGTCATCTCTTGGACCACTCTGGAAGTTTTCCAGCCGCTACTTTAATTAATTTTTAAAAGCCTCCAGCTGATTTAAGTCTTCATTTAATTTTATCTGGTCTTGTTTTCATCTTTTTACCAATTACTATTTCTGAGAGATACAACCTTCATTGATTCTATTTTGGTTCAGTGGGAATTCCACCTCATCATTCCCTTTCTTGAAAACTGGATGACTCTCCTCATATTTTACCTGAGTGGTTAAACAATTTGTCCGGTCTGTGGGTTGTTTTCTTCTCAGCTGGGAAGAAAATTCATCCTCAGGACAGGGTTTTGCTTTGATAGAGTTCCATTTTATTTACAAAGAAAGTACAGAGTTATTTCCTTGAACAAAGACAGAATCAAATAACAGGCAATAACTTCTTTTTTTCCAAACCTCATTCACCCAGTGTTTTACCCCCAACCTCTCTGTCAGCTTTTTTTCTACCAGGATCACAATGCTAGTTTGTCGAGCTGTGCTGGTGGTTTCTTTATTCCTTTTACACATTTATGCTGCTTATCGGGATTAATCATCTTGCCTTGATTAATGCTCTTTCTCTGCATTAAGCACATGAGTTTCTAGAGAAACTCATGGGTCCATATGCTCCACGTTTCTCTTGTTTTTGATGATAACTTCTGTAATTTCGGTTATCAGGCTTCATAAAAGAGTTTGCTTGTTTCTTACATTTATCTTGAATGAAAGGTGATGATTTTGTCCGGCAGCTTCAGTGAGATTTCACTCAGCTCTTTCACATAGCGCTATTAAAATTCAACATCTCTTTGAACATAATTCAAAAGAAAGAGGATGTAGAACATTTCTGATCTATAACAAGTTTTCGCAGCAGGAGTTCCATGTTGTGAATAATTCT